TAGATCTCCATCCCAGGATTCCTTGGCTTGGCCTGTTCCTAAACCTTCAAATGGCCTTCATTTGACCCCACTGGATGGAGTGGCTTTCACTTTCTACCAGGATAAATCAACTTTATCCCCTCTCGAAGCCTTACACCATTACGCCTGCACAGGAAGTGCATTGAGAGAAGTCAGTGGCTCTTCCCCAAGTCAGAGCTGTGGGGTTCTGATCTGGGGGAGACTCTGCAGAGGGCTGGAGACCTGAGCAGCTCATACTGGCAGGGACACAGGGCTCCAAGGACACTGCTGGAGGTTCCAGGCAACTGCTTTGCCCTGCAGTTCAACAGCTGCTGTTGAGTTAGATCGCACATGACACCCTAGGCTGCTCCTAAGGCTGGGGTACGTACTGTCCTCCAAACAGGCTGCCCAGGTCAGGCTAAGCTATGGGTGATTACTAACTAGTCTGAAGGTATTACTTCCTTCCATAGATGGAGACAGGGACCTTGGAGTCAGCTCAAGACACCCCAAGACCAGGTTCTCGGCACAAAAGAGGTTTGTTTGCCCCAAAGGGACAAAGGGAAGGGAATAAGAGACAGAAAGGAGATAGAAGATGAGGGAGAAGGGGAAGGAGATGAGGGAAAGGAGTAAGGGGCATCTGTCCCAGAGTGGAGGACAAAGGACTGCCTCTGGATAGAGAGGAGGCAGACGTGGCCCATAGGAAAATGGCAGTTTATAAAGGAAAATGGGAAACCCTGTGTTAGGATAAGGTGTTTAATTTTAATTGGGTGTGTTAATTAGGTGAGACAAAGAGGGTTTTGGATTGTCGGACTTCTATACTTTGATGGCTGGACCTTAGTAGTCAGCCCCAGGAGGAGAAAGTGGCCAAGGGAATTGGCCTTGGTAACTAGCTTTAGGAATGTAATCTGATGGTTTTTAGCCAGGCAGAATGGGGGAGAAGGGCAAGGCCTGCCAGGGCCATGTTTGCCATGCTCGGGCTGGCTAGAGTCCCTTCCCTGGGTGGGAATATGGGTGCTTCCCAAGGCTCTTGCCTTCTCCTTTAACGTGTCTTTGGGGTAAGATGGTTAATACTGTCAACTTGCTGGGATTTAGGATCACCATAGAAACAAACCTCTGTGTCTGTAAGAGATTATCTAGATTAAGTTCATGGAGGTTGGAAGATCCACCGGAAATGTGGGTGGGGCCATATGGGTTGGAGCCTGGAGCTAACCTGTAGCATTCCCGGCTCTCTGCTTACTGACTACAAAGGCAGCATGACAGCTGTGGGAACAGCATGCTCTGGAACACTCTTGACTTCAGAGGCTGAACTTTTGCTGGCCTTGCAACCAAGTTAATAATATGCCTGGAGACCATTAAAGCTATGTACTTGACTTGTTTCCTCACTGTGTGTTCAGCCTGTTTGTCTTGTTAAGAAAACAATGTAGCCAACCTAACTAGGCCTCGGACTTACCCTATAACCCACTTTTACAGGCTAAACTGAATGGACGGCTTTACTCCATATTCCCTGTCTCTCTTTTGTGACTCTTTCACAACCCAGAACTGCGCGCGCGTGTGTATGTGTGTGTGTGTGGGGGGGGAGAGATTAGTTAAATCATCAGATGAAAATGGCAGCATTGAAAACGATGATTTAAGTGTCCACCATAAATGTTGGAAACAGCATGTGGCTATAGGTTGATAACATCTGTTTGCCGTTTTGAGTGCTATTCAGGGTCACTAAGGTTCAGTAAAGTAAATTCTTCCCTTGTAAACTCTGGCTAAGAGAAATTAAATCAGGCCATTCTTCCATCCTTTCCTATACCATGTTTTCTATGTTGTTCAATAACTACAGAGCAATGCCCTAGCGACAGACAATGCACAGAGGGGGAGTGGAGAATTCCGATTTGGGGTCACTCTTGGTATAGATTGTCCCAAGAGGAAGAGTCTCTCATTAGAGATGTACTGTCACAACCAGCTGCCCCAAGCTTCTGTTACCATGATTTCCCCACCATAAGGGACTGTGCTCTCAAACTGCAAGCCAGAATAAGCCCTCCCTTGTTTTGTATCGGGCATTTGATCACAGGAATGAGAAAAGTCATTAAAACTTCGGGAAAGCATTAGAAGCAAGTGACCACCACATGACTACCCGCATGACAGGAGGTTGGGGAGCCACTGGGTATGCCGGGAAGAAGTACACAAGGGGCAGCCCGGCATGACACATATCACCCATCCTCAGCTAGGAAACCAGCTGAATTGAGTAACTCATTTCTGACTCTCCTGATTATGAAGCAAAGCATCAACTCTCACCAGAGCCGGTTGACCGTCCTTTCCTGGGGTGGATATTGAAGCCAACAGGCAGTTTGTCTCTGTCAAGTTGTCCCTTTGGTCTACACTCAGATCAGAAGAAAATCCTGATGGTTGTCCTATAACACGAGGACATCCAGGACCTCGGGTGGAAACATTTTTCCAGCTAGTTATTAAGAAGTCAGTCACCCGAGATAATGCTGTGGAGAATTCTTCAGCTGGAACTTGTAGGAAGTGATGCTATAATTCCACGGGTGGCCTGCAGGGAGCAGCACTTCTCTAGGAATGACTCCACTGTCTACTTCAGAGACACAGCAGGGATTTAATTAATTGGCCAACGAATAAGAGTTACTTTTAGAAATTGCTACATAATATTAATGTTATAGATCATGCCAATATGTTTCCAGTACGTAATTCCAGCCCTCCAGATTTTCATATAGGGATGCTGTGTGTGTATATACTGTGTTAGGTATGGTTGGAGATAAACCAGACTTGCCTGAGGGATGGAAGGTACTGAGTGAGAATAGGAGGAAATAAACCAGGAAATTGATGCTTGTTCTTAGACCACCCTGCTGAGATTTGAGTCTGTCTCCTTCCAGACTCAGGTTAAAATTTACTCGGATTTTGTTGACTTAGTCTTGAGACAGGGTTTCAGTCTTTGGCCCAGACTGACTTGATCTCACATTTGTAATGGGCCCCCTGCCTCAGCCTCTTGAATGCTGAGATTATGGCCCAGCAGCCTCCATTCTTCATAAATTACTCAGTCTAGCTGGGTATGTAGCTCACGATAGAGTGTTGCCTAGTTAAGTAGTGAAGCCCGGCCCTCAGGAGGTGGAAACAGGTTATCCTCAGTATCACTGAGTTTCAGGCCAGCCTGGGCTACATAAAACCCTGAATACATAAACAAAACAGGATAAAACACACACTTGCAGGTGTTCTGTTATAGTAATACCCCACCCCCAACCCCTGGTTAATAGCTTGCCCAGGAAAACCAAATGCATTTGCAATTTTCCCCAAGAGCAAGCCATTACTAAGTCCTTAAAAAAAAAAAACAAAAACAAAAACAAAAAAACCCCAGTAATCTTGGTTTTTCAAATCTTCATTTCAAAACCCATTCCACATACATATCCTGTAGACAAGCTGCAGATTTATGCGCATTTACACATTTTTAAAGCTTGTATATTTACATTCAAATGCACTGATCCCAAAGCACCCTGCCTGAGGCCACCCCCACCAAGAAGGGACAACTGAGAACCGGTAGCCTGGCCTTGGCAAGGGCCCTTCCCAGGGGCTGCTCCTCCTGTGCATCCCTCAGAATGCTTCAGTCTTCTGAAGGAAAGGGGGGAATGGATGCCTTTGATCCACCAGTGCCTGCGCACCCAGCCCCTCTTAAACAGTTTTTAAAGATTTATTTTATGTGTATGAATGTTTTGACTGTATGTATGTACATGCACCATGTGACTGTCTGGTGCCTATGGAGGTCAGAAGAGGGTATTGGATCTCCTGGCAGTGGAATTACAGATGCCTGTGAGATACTGTGTGGGTGCTGGGAACCAAAGCTGGGTCCCCTGTGAGCGTCATGTTCTTAACCACTGAACCACATCTCCACCCCGCTCCCAGTCTTGTTTGGAGAGAATGATAAACACAGGCAGCTTCTGGGTGCAGAAGACTGCCACAGATGGGGGACAGGTTCCACAGTCCTTGGCCTTCTAAAAGGCAGTGGTCTTCCACAAAATCTGCAGGCTGGTGTTAGTGTCACTGTGACAACAATATTGAACCAACCAATGGCTACCGGCTCCCCACAGGCCCACTCTCCCATGTGGAGGACTCGCTGACGGATGATGAAGCTGCTGCCGGGAGAGGAGGCACAGGGTGAGCCAGCTGGGAAGGGGACAGGCCTCGGTGCTGTCAGGGCAGCAGGGCCACAGCAGCCTGAGGCAACTATAGCTCTCTTGGGCTGTGGATAACACGGGAGTCTTGGCTTCTTCACTCCTGATCAGACTGTGTGTATTTAGGGAAAGCCCCGGGGGGTCGAGAGCTCCCAGTCAGAGCTGGGAAAAGATCAAGTGGGATCACACTTTTCCTGCTCCCCCTAGCAGGTTCTTAAGGCTTTATATGGAGAAGCTCACTTGTAAATAGGAGGGGAGGTCTGGGTGGCCCTTCAGCCAGGGCAGCTGCTAAGAAATAGAATACTGTGAACCCAGGGTTGGGCCTCAGGATGTGCTCTTCCTTCTCCAGAGGTGCGGAATAAGTAAGAGTCCTGGACAAAATAAGTGGAGAAAAGTTGCATAGGAGGAACAGGAGTAAAGAGAGAGTCTAGGGGTGTTCTGTGATCAAGGACGGAGCAGAGTCACAGATGGGTATAGTGGGTACTGGGGAAGTTTTTCAGTCCTCAGCCAGTGGGCAGGCCCTGCCTGCCCTTGTGAAACATTTTCTCTTCCTGACCAACAGATACCACTCACAGCCAGGCCTCATCATGACAACCAGGTAGCACCCACTGTGGACCCACCTACTTAGTGCAGACCCAAAGTCAGGGTTCAGGCCTGGAGAGATGGCTCATAGGTTAAGAGGACCCAGATTCAATCCCAGAACCCATACAGTGGCTCAGATCCAGGGGTTCCAACACTCTCTTCTGGTCTCCAAGGTCAGGGCTCAAGGTGAAGCAGAGGGATATATCACCTCCTTTGAGAATGAGGGTACCCCTCCCCTAGTGGTACTCTGATGGAGAGGAGCCAAGGAGAGTCAGGCCTCCCTCCTGCCCTACCAAGGGAAGGTGGGAGTTGGGAGAGGAGTCCTATCACTTTCCACCCCGGGGGAGAGCAGAGGCCCCAGGCTGGGTGGCCATGATGTGGTAGATGGATTCCCGGAAGCGCTGGTCTCGGCTTAGCCGTTTGGCCACCTCCTTCAGCTCTTCTATGTTGTTGGCTTCTAGCTGGGAGGTCATGAAGGACTGGGATGGCTTCACTGGGGAGACAAAGCCCCATTGCCCTGTGAATGGCACTCCCCCATGCTGAGCCCACCCTTCCTCCCTCATCCCAGCCCTATATGCTGTTGAGCTTCACTTAGTCCCTTCTGCCCAAGGCTGGGACAGCCAGTTTCAAGGACAGACTGCCCAGCCTTGTCTACTCGTTCTCAAACCTGCCCTCTTCCTGCCTTATTGCCAACAGCCTGTGCCACGTGACCCCACGGAGGCATACGGATGCTCACTGTCATTCCAGGAAGTACTGGACCGTCGACGGTGGAAACGGCAGCTCTTGATGCGACGAGTGGCCGCCTTATGGATGTACACGGAGTTCTTCATGATGACAGGCATCTTGGCCTCCAGCTCTGCATTCCGGATGCATTCCTCAAAGAACTCTGTGGGGACAGAAAGGAGCAGCTGGCTGCATCTTTCTCTGGACCCGTCCTTCTAAGCACTCATTTGGTCTGGTGGGAGATTTTTCAGTCTATCCATCACAGAACACAGTTCCTCAAACCACAACCTGTAGCTATCATAGAGAAGTCTGCTGGGAACAGAGCTCTGAGCTTTGGAAAAGAGGACAAAACTTCAGGCTTTCCTCCCATACCCTCACCCCAGGCCCAGCTGCCACAAAGAGGCAGAGCCAAAGAGACTCCTACAAGATGGCGTCTGGAGAAGGAACTCCAGGAAGGACTACCTCACATGCAGACCCTGTTCCAGCCTCCAGTGGGCTTGGTTTATGGGGCTGAGCTCTGGGATTAAGGCTGGGCCCTGGAAGGAGGCCTTACTTTTCAGGTGGCTCACGTCAGCCCGCATCCTCTCTTCTTTCTCCTTGTTTCGAACCTTGGAATTGAGCCCTTGTTCCAGGCTCCGCAAGGCTGCCTCCGCCTCCCGAAGTCGTCTCTCCAGGTCCATGCGTACCTTCACTTCAGCCTACATGGAGGGGCAAGCAAGACAGAAGCCGAGTCCAGAAAGCAGTCGCCACCTCCCCAGAAGCCTGGACCTGAGTTAGGATCACTAGGAGACACACCTCTGGTGTGTCTGAGGGCAACTCCAGAAAGGTTTAACTGAGGGTAGAGGATGCACCCTGAGTGAGGGTGGTACTGTGCCATGGGTTGGAGTGTCACCAGCTGCCTCATGCTCCCACCACCCTGATCTCCCTGTCATGACAGACTACATTACCTTAAACCATGAGCCTTCCTTCCATAAACGCTTTTGGCAGGAATGTCATCTCAGCAATGAGAAAAATGGCTAGGACACCTTTCCCAATCATCTTAGGCTTAATGGGTGTTGCTTATCCATAATCCAGATGGCTGGGCACAGTCCTGTCCCTAACCCTTGTCTAACAATGATAAAGAGATTGCTACCTCTTGTGATAAACACATCCCTCAGTCTGGCCGGCTGGACATTCTGAGAGAGGAGTTTAGGGCAGCTGTGAAGTACAGGGATGTGCAGGAGTCCCCAGCGGTAAGAAGGGCCCAGAGCACAAGGCCCACATAGCCTGCACACCTTGAGCTCCCTCTCAGCCTGCTGCTTCTCTGCGGTCAGCTCCTGAAGGGAGTTCTGCAGGGCTTGAGACTGGCTTGAGTAGAACTCCCGTTCCTCCTCCAGAGCCCGTGAGCGCTCTTCATTCTCCTTCATCCTGTGGGCAGGAAGGGTGCTTACCCAATGCTCACCTACAAAGATGGCTGCCCCTGCTAGAGACAGCTAGAGAAAGGCTGAGTCCTCTTCGGATCCAGTCAGATGGGTATGAGAGAGGTGGTGTGGAGTGATGGGAACCCTAGGCTTAGAGGTTCAGGGATTGCTATTTTTCTGACCTCAGAAAGTCCTCCTGACCCCAGTGAGGCTCAGTTTCTTCATGGGTTGGGTAGCTAGAAGCTAAGGGAACTGTTCTGAGGACTTGCTGATACTCTGAATGGTTTGTCAAGTCAGCTTTGGGAAAGCCAGGTCATAGGCAGCTGGAACTCAAGTCCAGTTGCGTAACTTGAGGGCAGTCACAGCTCCCAAGCCGCTGGAGGACCCTGTGGTCACAGGTGCCTCACCGCTTCTCTGCCAGAAGCTTCTCTGCCAAAAGCTCCTGCATCCGCTCCTCGATCTGCCTGAGGTTGCTATGGAGACCATCACTGGCAAGTGGCTGCTCACTCTCATTGGTCAATGGCTGTGGTTGGTTCTTATCTTCCTCCAACATCTCTAGAGTTTTCTTCTTCTCTATGGAGAGTTCCTGGCACAAAGGCAGGGAAGGGTAAGAAGCATGGGTTAGTTCTGCAGCGTGGCTGCCCTGGTCTCCTTGCAATTCCAGGGAGTGATCTACTCTTCCCTCAGTCCTCCACGATGGACAACTGGCATGCCTCCTTTCAAGATCTCCTTTTTTACAACATGGCCAGGTTACTTCTCTATCAAGACACAGATAAGGAGAAACCCAATGGCTTCCAATAGAGATGGTACCCATCAGGGCAGGTCCCAAAGTCCTGATCCCAGCTCACTTCAGGTGCTGGACTTTAAAAAACTGTGAAGACTTGGTCAAGTGAAATTCACAGTTTTGAAGATACAACCCAGAGTGTTAATCCTACAACAGACGTGCAAAACTCAAGGGAACATGGAGCAAATACCTACCTAGAAGAGTCAAGGAAGTTTGACTAAAGAGATATTTTGGCTGAGTCTAAAGGCAAATGGTTCTCCAAAGAAGAAATGAAAGGATATGTTGTATAGAGGCAACAGTAGGGCAGAGGTGTGGGGAATCAAAAAGCTTGTTTTCCTTAGGGTCTCAGGCTCTGGTTGGAGCAGGGGCTGGAGGGGCAGCAGGGGAGGAAAGGTGTGGGGGGGGGGGCTGTACTCGCATGCTATGCTAAGAAGTTTGCTCTCTATCCTTGACAAGCATTGCTTGCCCCTCCCTCCCCCCTCCATCTCTTGTATTAGATGAAGGTGACCTGGAAGTTGATTTCCCTTCACACTCAATTTCACCCAGGAGCAGCTAAGTGAAGGGACCACAGAAGGATGTGGTGGGTGACTCCATCGCCCACTCTAATCAATCCTGCCCGTGCTATAACACCAGCACTATAGAAAGCAGGTTTCCTGAGGCCACGGTCGTCACAAGGGCAAGCTAGAATGTTTGTTCTGGGTCTGGGAAGAACCAGTCAGTGCTTTGGGTTTCATGTGCCAGCTAGAGTTCCCAACCACCTGCAGACAGTTTATCCTTTAGATAAACTCCACTTCGTGCTCACTCTCCTGTGGGTAATCCCTGGGAAATCCATGGGAAATCCAGTATTATGTAGCCCAGCCCACCAGCTTGCTTCCTGGGCAAGCAGGCCCCTCACCTCCAGTGTGTGCTGTAAGGATTCTGTGAGATGCCTCAGCTCCTTCTTCTCTTGCTCCACACCCTTGAGGCATCTTGCAGTGAGTTCTAGCTCCCTGTGGGGATGGAGAGCTGGGATGGCAGCGTTCACCCTTCCCTATTGCCCCTCACAGGGCCAGGATACTCCCCCTGCTCCCCCCTCCCCAGGGCCAGGGCATCCCTCCTCTGCCCCCTCCCAGGGCGGGGCATCCCCACCCCACCCCCGTTGTCCCTCCAGGGCGGGGCATCCCCCCCTCCCCGTTGTCCCTCCAGGGCGGGGCATCTCCCCCCCCCCGTTGTCCCTCCAGGGCGGGGCATCTCTTCCCCCCCTCCCCGTTGTCCCTCCAGGGCGGGGCATCTCTTCTCTCCCCCCCCCCCCGTTGTCCCTCCAGGGCGGGGCATCACCTCTTGATCTGCTCTTGCTCCACTCTGAGCTCTTGCACCACCTCCTCGAACTGCTGCTTCTCGGCCTCCAGCACCTGGTTCAGGCGCTCAAGCTCCTGAAGAAAGGAAAGTCATAGGTGGCACAGGGCCCTAGGCTCAGGACGATTCCTCCTTACGCTAGCCCAGGGGACACTCCAGGATTTGGCTCAGCCTGGGGCATAAGGCCAAACTTGTAAGTCCCGAGAGCCCAGGCTCTATTCAGTGGCATGCAGTCTCAACTAACCCAAACCATGATGAACCTGGCCCATGACAACCATTAGCAAGAGGAAGGGCAGGCCTAGAAATGTTCCCAAGGGTCCTCTGACAGAAACAACTGAAATTCTGGATGCTGTTCCACTGGGTATCTCTAGGAGCCAACATCCCAAGGTGAGATGGCTATGCCTCAAGCATGAAACAAAAACAAACAAACCTGTGGAGTGTGTATTTCCAGGACACAGAATGACATCAAGTAGAGTGGCAAAGCCAAGCTATTTCCAACCCAAGAGTCAGTTTTTTTTTTTGTTGTTGTTGTTGTTTTTGTTTGTTTGTTTGTTTTATCTCTAGGGATGAATCAGGTGGACACCTTCCCTCTCCTCAGATGCATGGGAATAGGAGTGTTGGAAGGACCCCAACAGATCCCAGGGGACCAGACCAGTCAGGGAAGCCAGACAGCCTGACTATTTCTCCCAGCAAGTTGGAGCCTCTAGGCTAGAGGTCCTGTTTTCCCCGGGCCAGTAGCAGATGGTATTAGGGATCCATTTCATGAAATTTAACTCACAGTTTTTGTTTTTTTAAATGTCATTTTATGCTATGGGAGCATTTTGTTTCTGCATCTGCTTTCTTACTTTCCAGTTCAAAATTACTCTCTGGTCACCCAGGGCTTTGTTCTCAAGGAAAATGGCATCCTTGCTAGGGAGTGGTACTGCCTATGGAGGGCAATGTTGCTTTGAAGGGATGCAGAGAGGGAATAAAATATATAGAGGAGAGAGTCTGATTTTAATCCACACGCCCAAAGTTTCTTACCCAAGTTAGTTACTTCTTTCTAATCTAATCTTTATTGCCACATGATTACAAACTGTTCGGTTTGCCAAATGTGGTCCCCTCCTGGGCTGCTCCCTGGCGCTCTGATGCCTCTGGGTACATGCATGGCTATAGCACACTGGCTACAGGTAGCAGGGCTCATGGGAGTAGCTGAGGCAGATGGGATGTGAGCAGGAGAGCAGATATCCTTTGGAAAGATGGTGTGTGGTGGGCCATGATTCCTTTCCCCTGGCATAAGTAAGGGTCCCCTTAGCCTGGATCCCCAGGAATGAAGACATATGAAACAGCTCCAGTCAGCTCAAGTAGCTGTGTGAGAAAACACATTTGTGCTGTTAAAAACCATGGACATATGGGGGCTTTTGGTTACTGCAGAAGCTATGGCCTAGCCTATACCTATCTATATTTGACATGTCGTATCTAAATAAGATATAAATTAAATTTGAATTCTTGCATATATCCCTCCTTACAACTGAAGACTTTAGACCTTAAAAAAAAAAAAAGAAATATGAAGTCAGATGGTGGTAGTGCACACCTTTAAGTCCAGCTCTTGGGAGACAGAAGCAGGTGGACCTCTGAGTTCGAGGCCAGCCTGGTCTGCAGAGCAAATTCCAGGACAGCCAAGGCTACACAGAGAAACCCTATCACAAAATAATAATAATAATAATAATAATAATGAAATATGAAACTCTGCTTTAATGCACAAGGTGTTGCTTAGAGCCTCTCTGCCCACAGAGTCAACACACTTGACTGATTCTCCTCAGGTAGTGTTTGTCAGCAAGAGCTGCTGAGAAGCCGTTAGAACTCGCTAGCTGGAAGCACCTGAGGTCCATAATGGCTTGAACAGGTCCCAAGGCTCCTGCTGTTTCAGAAATGATCACCCAGGACTCAGTAGAGGACTCTACCCTTCAGCCTCACTTCAGCCCCCTGGAAAGTTCCCTAGCCCTGGAGCTTACAGCCATCTCCCTTCATTTGCTGTTTCAGAAATGATCACCCAGGACTCAGTAGAGGACTCTACCCTTCAGCCTCACTTCAGCCCCCTGGAAAGTTCCCTAGCCCTGGAGCTTACAGCCATCTCCCTTCATTTGCTATCTCTGGAGTAACTACACTGGCATAGCTTCTGTTGAACTGCCAGTAGACGGACAGTGTCCAAAAAAATCAGACCTTCCCTCCCAGCGCTCAAGCACCTGGGAAACACTAGCAGAAGCCAGGCAGTGCCTCCAAGAACCCAAGGGGAAAGTAACCTTGAACACAATAAGGCAACAACAACAACCCATTTGCCTTTTGCCATTTTCCTTTCTTCTCCTCTCAGAGGTCCCAAGTATACATGCTAAGATGTTTCTACTCAGGTCAGTGGCCAGCTATGCCCAGGGTAGCATTTGCTGCCGCCTCCAGGGGCCGGCAGAATGGGTGGCATGAACCAGAGCCACCCAGCACCAAAAATCTGTTTCAGCTTTGAACAACCTACAAAAGCCCCACCCTCTGCCAGCTCTGCTTCTCTCTCTCTCTCTCTCTCTCTCTCTCTCTCTCTCTCTCTCTCTCTCTCTCCCTTGCTCAAAGCCACAGATATGAAAGCATTGGGGAATGATGGAAGGGTCTGTAGAAATCTTCACAGGGAACCAATAGCAGGGCTCACCTCATTCATGGGACAAAACTCTGCTGTCTCCCAGTCTCTCGAGCCAACTCTGCCCTTGCTCAAACTTTCCCTCTCCTCAGCAGCTGCCTCACTCCTGGCCTTTTTCACACTTCCCTCCAGGGGCTCTCTAAGGCTCTGAGACCTGTGGAACCCATCCCACAAAATAAGAGCTAGCACATGGTCCTAAGCCAAACAGAAGACCCTCGGGGCCAAGGGCAGCAGCCAGCACTTGAAGAAGCAAGCAACCCATGTTGTCCACCAGTTCCATTTCAGCTCAAATATGCCTCCCTCTCAGTTTCCCTCACTGAATTCAGCTTCTCCTTGGACCATCAAATAAGATTAACTTCTTTTCCCTTCAAGTATTTTAAAAAACCATCCTGTTCCCAAGTTTCCTGTCCTCCAAGCTAAACACATCTTGTTTGCCATGCTTCACGGACCATGATTTCTTGTCCTCAATAAAACTAATTATACCCATGAAAAGAAAGCAGCTACAGAGGCTCCTGATCAGGAACCTTAATACAGGGAGGAGTCTTTGCAACTAATTTACAGGCTCAATGCAATTCCAGGAAATAGTCCTGTGAGATTTTTTTCCCTCATAGTTCTACTTATTCATTCATGCTACATCTATTTACCAAGTGCATACTATGTTCCAAGTACCTGCTGAGCCCTGCATGGAGGATCTAAAGATGCTCCTGTGGTTTCTGTGGTGTAGTGTAGCTACTAAGAAACCCAGACCAGGATTTTAGATCAAATGTAGGAATCCAGCATTACTAAAATAATCAGGTATCCCAGAAAGTACTACAAAACAAGATGCATGTCCTGCAGGACAGAGACTCAGTACCAGGTCAAGCTGTCCTGGATGGAAATAGAATAGAAAACTCCACAAGGCACGCCAGCAGCAGGACTTGGGAGTAGGGTGGGAAAGAGAGGGAGGAGGGAGGATGGGATGAATGAAGCATGATCCCCAATTTCCTGACCTGCATAAACCTCGGGTGGTACATCGCCTAGGCTGGGCATGTAAGGAGAAACCAGCCCTTCTAGGGAAGGTAAAACCAAGACATCTTGATCTCAGACAAGGCGTGTTCTCAGCATCTTTGAACATGTGGCTGGGATGTGAAGTCAGTTGTTGGGAATCAGAGGAGGGATGGCAACAGAGGGAAGGAACTAGAGGTATCATGCTGGGAGTCATTTGCACACACATAGCAAAATGAAATTGAGGATTGTAATCTAGACAGAGCAGAGAGAGGAGAGGAAGTTCAAGTATTACCTAAAAAGAGGAGGCTTGCACAAGTTCATTCATGCCAACTGCTTGTAATTTTGTAAGTGCTTATCATGTGCCATCCAGGCCAGGCTCTTAATCTTAGCACTCAGAAGACAGAGGCAGATGGTTCCCTGTGAGTTGAAGGCCAGTCTGGTCTACATAGTGTGTTTCAGGCCAGCCAAGGCTACATAGAGACCCTGTCTCAAAACAAGGTATCATATACAGTTTGAAGAGACTATCAGAACCAGTCAGATGACAGGACTGTTAAAATTATCAGATCAGGAATTAAAAATAAAACAAAACAAACAAACAAAAAAAAACAATAAAAAAAACCAAACCAGATTGTGGGTTATATGCTAAAGACTAACAGAAAACTATAGGTATGTAAAAATAGATGACTAATATATGTAGGGAGATGGGAATTACACACACACACACACACACCCCAAATGTGAGAATCAAAACACAAGCCAATCGCTGGGCATGATGGTGCACTCAGGTGTGATGGTGTACTCTTGTAGTTCCAGAACTCAGGAGGTGGATGCAGGAAACAAAGATGATCAGTTCAAGGCTGACTTAAACTACATGTCACTCTGCCTTACAGAGCAAACAGCAAGCAAAACACAAAGCAAAATGACAAGGCCACAATATGGAAGAATAAAGAATGTCTTTGCTGATACATCAGAGAGCTTGCTTTCCATGTCTCCTCATGTGTGGACAAGGTAAGATGTAAAGTACACCATCTACTGGCAGCTGCCTATGGAAGAGATCTCAGAAGAAAACAAGCTTTTTTGACAGCTTGATCTTTCATTTTCTAGTCTCCAGAACTCAGAGAAATATATTGCTCTTGTTGAAGCCACTTGGCCTGATTTTGTCCTGCTAGATCAAACTGATTAGGATCAATAAACCACACCATTCAAAGATGGCATATTCAGAATATTCACCAATAGAGGCTGGACTCTGCAGAAGACGACACACCTTATCACACTTAAAAGACTAGAAACCACATAATCTTTGCTCTTAATAAATAATGAAATTATACTAGAAACTAATAGCAAAAGAATAGCAATAAAACAAAGTGCTTGGAGGTTAAAGAATATATTTCTGAGTAACATGGGTCAAAGAAGTGATTTCAAGAGAATTCCCCCAAATTAAATATTGAGACCTAAGTCTAAAAATTATAACATCACTTGTTACTTATTTGAGTGAACTGAGTGTCTGTCCATACCAAAACAAAAACAAACAAAAAAAATTATGAGTATTTATAGTAGCTTCATTCATAATTGCTGAAACCCAGGGGTCCCTCAGTGGGAAAATAGATAAACTGAGGTACATACAAAATTTATTCAGCTCTGAAAAGAAACTAGTGTTCAAGCTGTACAAAGGCATAGTGGACGTTTAACTGTACCTCACTAGGTGAAAGATGGTGACCTGACAAGGTTGTGTGGTATATGACTCCAACTCCAATAGTACATGCTAGAAAGAACAAAACTTTGGAGCTGGTAAAAAGATCAGTGGTTGCTACCGTTTGTGGTGGGAGAGATGGGCACATGGAACACAGGGTTTTTAAGGCAATGAAACTATTCTTTGTGATGTCACAATGGTAAATTAGTGGTAATGTACACTTGTCAAAATCTACAGAATGTGCTACACTAAGAGTGAAGGCTGCTGGGTGGTGGTGGCACACGCCTTTAATACTAGCACATGAGAGGTGGAGCCGGATCTCTGTGAGTTCCAGGCCAGCCTACTAAACAGAGTGAATTTCAGGGCAGATATGCCCAGGAAGTTCTCCATGCATTCTTGGCTAAAAACACCAAGGCTAAGAGTCCCAGGCTCTCTCTGACACATGGAAAATGCCAAGGCTACAGCATGGCTACAGGTACATGGCTACACCATCATATGGCACATTTCCCTGAATTCTAGTCTTCTGGCTTCCTGGCAAGCCAGAAGAACACAGAGCAGCTGCTGTTACTTTTACCAAGCATTAGAGATGAGGAACACGAAGCCCAGAGGAATCAGACGGCATTCACATCTTGAGTGTTGAGGCTGAGATCTAGCAGGTCCCCTGGCTGCAGGATCTGGTTCCTCCCCACGGGCCAGGCTATCCCCCAGAAACCTTGCACATCAACAGAACCATCTTGTCTGTGGGATACAGAATTCTTTCTATGTGGCCTCAAACCCCTCTGCCAATCTCTGATCTAGAATAGGAGGGAACAGTATTGGGGACAAATATACCTATCCTATTGGCTAGCAAACTAAGGAGGATGAACGTGGGCACCATGACTCAGCGTGGCCACACCAGGAGCAGAATCCGGGCTCTGTCTTTGGTCTAGAACGCATCACTGACAGGGAGTTCTCTTCCTGCTGCCTGCTCCAAGCATCCCCCACCATATCAACATCTGGGCTTGCACCTTACTTGTATTCTGCAGCTGCCAGTGTCCCACTTCAGTGTTGTGGCATTAAGCGAGGCCTGTGTGCCCTCGGTCTCCGCTGCCCTAATTTCCAAGCTAAGACCTAGATAGTGTATCTAAATTTTCCTCGGGCCAATTTCTGCCCCAGATTCAACCTCTGTTGGCTAAGTCTCCTCTCCCCACTTGGGGCTGTGTCTCCCACTCCATCACCTGCTGGGCCTCCTGAATTACCTGTCCTTAACGTTTCTGACAGTACCCCAAAGTCTCACCCCAAATGCACGGGAAGCTATGGAGAAAAGGCCCAAACTCTAATGGGATCTAGATGAGAGTGAGCAGACCTCAGTGCTCAAATTCTGGGGGAAGAGAAGCACAGCACTACGGCGAGGCCAGTTCAGGGTCCTACCCCTTCAGCTGCCCTTCCTGGGCACCAGGCACACATGTGGTACATAGACATGCATGCACACAAAATACTTTCTCTTTTTCTTTTCGAGACAGGGTTTCTCTGTGTAACCATGGCTGGAACTCTGTAGACCAGGCTGGCTTCAAACTCACAGAGATCCTCCTGCCTCTGCCTCCTGAATGCTGGGGTGGGTGTGCACCACCGCCGTCAGCCTATGAAATACTTTTAAAGAACTAAACCCCACTTTCAACGCCATACCTCCAAATTAAAATCTTGAACCTTGTTTTTCTTTTATTTATAATCAATGAAAAGACTCTAAAGTCTATTTGGAAGAATAGATGGACATAGGAGGCGAAATTTTGGAAGAAAAATGAAAGTAGATTGTCCTAATGGTTTGAAATTAAGCTACAATGTAAAGTTGCAAGAATCAAGTCAAGTTAACTCACTGTGGATTTTTTTCCACAGTGACCAGACTCTCATCTTAAGCTGGGTGCTGTGACAGGACTTGGAGGCTTTGGGGTCCAAAGGGTCCTTGTTTGTTTGTTTTTGTTTTTACTTTAGGGTCTGTTTTAGAGTTCCACGAGGAGCTGAATTCCTGAGCTGAGTCATAGCCAGGCACTGAGCTACAGCTGATGGCCTCAGCCCCGTGTCTGGCTTGACAGAGTACAATGGACAGGGACAAGGCCAAAGGAAGTGGATTGGGTCATTCCCTGTACATAGGCTCCTCTGGGTACCACCCTGTAATGCCAGGCCTCACCCATGCAGGAGTGGCCCATAATTAATAATTACATGAGCGGAATGCTAAGAAAAATCACTCAGCACACATTGTACACACAGCGTGTCAAATACTTTCAATGCAACATCTTGCATAATCTTTATGACATCCTCAAAAGGATAGGTTTTATTATTTCCCTCGGGTTTTTGGGTGAAAATATCAACATTCAGACAGGTTAAATAACTTGCCAGGGACCATCCAGTTAGAAGGACTAAGGTCAAATACAACCACAGCTCCAGCTTTGCCTCTGCTTACCACACACCCTGCCCTTCCGGTGTGGGAATGGAGCAGGCTCCAATGGCTCAAATGAGACAAAAGTCCTCTTGGTCTTGGGCTACTTTAAGCCTGTGCCAGGCCTCCATGGGACACATATTGTCAATGTCAATAGAATGAAGGGATCGAGGAGGTTCTCAAACCCCATCACTCTTATGGACCAGAATCTCCCACCCCATAACTGAGGCCATTATAACCCCCTGTGGATACCATCAAGCCACTTATAAAATGTTTAGATGGCTTTGTCTTTAAGACCTGCCCACTCATTCTTTTCCCGAGAGTTCACAGGAGAACTAGGCTTCCCACCAAGAAGACGTTGTCATCTGGTGGCCTCGATACTGCTCCATCCCATCTGAGGCCTCTCAAGCAGGTCTCTGCATGCCCAGTGCCCCCCTTCCCCGCCACCAGTACCATCCCCAAACTCAGCAGTTCTCAACCTCCCTAATACTGAGGCCCTTCACTATATATTCCTCATGTTTTGGTAACCCCCCAACCATAAAATTATTTTCATTGTGACTTCATAACTGTAATCTTGCTACTGTTACAAATCATATTATACATATCTGTGTTTTCCAATGGTCTTAGGCGATCCCTGTGAACGGATTGTTCAAACCCCTTCCCCCCCACCTCCAGGGGTCATGGCCCACAGGCTGAGAAACCCTGCCCTCATGCCAGCCATGAGGGCAGTTGAGTCTTTCTGCACAGTCAGGCTGTGTGCTCACCTCTCTCTGCTCCCTCTGAAGGCACAGCTCTTCTGTCTCCTCCATCAGCTTGTCTGTCAAAGCAAGCCCACACTCACTGAAAACCGCTCAGGGGTCCTTTGGGTAGGGGTCCCAGGTGGCCTCTGCCACTTATGCCATCTCCCAGGGAAGGGGGTCTGCACCGCTTCTGCTCCGCTGAAGGGAAGCTGTCTCACTGGCCCGAGCGGCCTTTCAAGTCATCTTCCTTGTTTTGTGCATCCATAGGTCCATCCACCGAGGACCTGCATGGAGGCTCAGGCAGGTCTTTGCAGCCTGTGGTCTCTGCAGACTCCTCCTGCCATCACTAGTGTCTGATTAGTTGGAGAGGGCACATTCCAGGAAAGGAGGGGTGTGCTTAGGGCAGGTAGAGAGGAGCCAGGGCCTCGGATGTCTCAGCCAGCTCCCAGGAAGAGGGTCAACCCATTCTCATCATCCCTCCCAACTGGGGAGGAGGCATTTAGCAGACAATTAGAGCATGGGCCCTGGATCCTTGCAGCTAGGTTTACAGTGGGTCTGGAGAGGAGATAGACCCGGGGCTCAGGCAGGATAATATTTTTTTCCAGTTTTAGATCCTTCAACTGAAGGCCTGACACATACACACACCCAGGGATTTTCCCCTTAAGCTGATCCTACCCCACCTCTAACACCAGGAACCATTTCAGTCTCTGCTTTAAGGAGGGGGTAACTGAGGTGCATAGAGACTGAGTGGTCTATAGATCCACACAACAGACAGGCAGGTGACAGGGCTGGATCTAAAGCCCAGCTTCTGGCCACTAACCAGTCTCTCCTGCCTCGAGCTCTCTGGTCTAAAGGACCTTTATCACACCATGAAGTGCCAAGCTCCCTTCCAAGTCCCAGAGAGACCTCCCGTACCATTCCCACCAAGTCCCTCTCTGTCACTCAGGTCCCCAACTACTGCCGTCAGGGAACTTCGGATTCCAGTTCACCCCTGTAACCAACCTAAATATTCCTGCTTTTCCTTTGCCAGCTGTAGCCCCTGTGCCTCCAGGCTTTTGATCATAGCTTCTCCTAGCTGGGCATTTTTCCAGGTTCTGGGGAGGGAAGACAGATGGGAGAGAGGGAAGGAGAGGAGAAATACAAACCATTAAACCAGGAGGAAGGCCTGGGGAGAAGGAGATTGCATATGTTCTGTGCTAGCCTCTCCTTTGCCCTGCAGAATCTCAGCTCAGTCGGGCACCCACCAGCATTGATCCGTTACAGTAACTGCAGGCTGGGGTTGCAAAGTGGGCCACAGGGACAGAGCCAAGAGCACTCACTCACAGAGGAGGCAAGGGACTGCTTGCTTCCCTTGCAGCCTTCTACACCACTGCATGCCCACCACCTGGTTCAAGGCTGGGTATTTGGTGTTATTGGTTGAGTTAGAAGCATGGACTGGCTTGCATGGGCACAGGCTGTGTTGGCCAGGTGGTTTCTGTGAAACACTATCTCTGGTCCTTGCTAGGGTTAGTTACAGATCTGGGAGGCAAGACAGATACTGAGGTGCTGGATATGAGGAGCAGGATTGGCTAACTCCCAGGAATTGGAGGCTAATGATGTCTGCCTCTAACACCTGTCATTGCAGACACTTACCCAAAGTCATGACTTAGGGGACCCTGACAGCCTGAGCTGCTTCTGCCCACACACCCTAGCCAGTTCCCACAGCCCTGTCTCAGGACCCGGCAGAGAGGCAAGTGGGCAGAGCCAGCCTAGCCCATCCACTCATTCTGGCCCCTCAGAGGCCCTGATGGCAGATACTTACACCTTCCCAGACTCCTGCAGCATCTCCAGCCATTGTGTCTGTTCAAACTCAGACTCAGCAGCCAACAAGACATTCCCCTGCCAGGAAGAGGAGCCAGAGTGAGAGAAATCCACTCCAAAGGAGAGGGAGGCAAGATCTCTCACCCACCCGAAACAGGCCTGGACCCTGACAGTCCTCTCAGGCTAGACTGCACAGGGCTGTTCCCAGGGGAACAAGACGAAGCTGCTTTGTCCTGAGGACCCTGGGCTAGGGGAGGGTCCCCACTCACATGGAAATCCTGGTGTGAGATCTTCATGGCATAGGGCATGCTGGGTTCTTCTCTGGCCTCCACCAGGCAGCCGCCCAGTGGGATGACACCCTGTGGGAGAAGCAGAGCAGGCAGCTCCCATCCACCCCACCCACCCCACCCAGCTCCCACCACTTAAGAGTCCCAGGAGGCTCCTGGAGAAAGCCAAGGGCTTTGCCAAGGACCTCAGGCTGGACACAGCCCAGGGTTATGACACCAAAGCTAGGATTGATTCCCAGAAGAAAAAGAGCTTGGGTGGGCACTGTGACTCAAGAAGTAAGTGTGTGTGTGTGTGTGTGTGTGTGTGTGTGTCTGGAGGGGGAGCCCAGTGCAGAGGCTGGAGGGGGTGTCTTGAGACCTGAGAGGATTTGTCCTCCACATCCTAAAACAAATCAAGACAACAGGTAGTTTCCTACCATCCCCAAATGTCCCCAGCAGGCCCTCCTTCACTGTGGCTCTGGACAGTAGCCTCCTTACCTTAGGATGTATATTGAAGTACTTATTGGTCTCAAAGCTCTTTTTTTCACTCTCAGAGTAGTAAAGAAGAAAGCTTTCTTTGATGATAAAAAACCTGTGGGGGAGGAATGAGAAAATGGTGAGATCTTGTGGGTCGAGAACACCCTGGGGACCCTGAACTCACATGGGAGCCCATGGGGACCCTAGTTCACACCGCACATTGCACAGAGCGGCCTCCGATGGCCTCCTTACAGGCACCGAAGGAGGGAGGTCCTTGACTGGCATCCAGGACTGCCCTCTTCAGCACAGTAGAAACCTGTTGTCCTTCTCCTCGGGTCCCTTTACCCTCTGTACTGTCCAGTACTCACTCCAGTCATGTGAGAGCACCTGTCCAGGATGAGGGTGAGACACGTCATTCTAGACCGGTGTTTCCGTGTAATCCAATGGAATTGGATATCAGCTGTGGAGGCTGCTGTCCTGATACCTCAAGGTGATGCCTACATTCTCTTTTGTCTGTCTCAGACTGGGATTCAAGTCTAACTTGGTATCAAAGTGGCCATGGTAGCTTTTGGATACTGGCGGGGAGGCAAATCCTCAATGCCAACAGACCTGTCTTGGGGACCCATACAGAACTGTCAGTGGAAGCTTTAGGAAGTCATGAGTGCTCCAGGGGGTGCACCCCTGGAGTGCTCCAGGGGCATGCTCCATGGGGGATGAAACAAGGAAGACCCTCAGAGCTCCCAAGGCTCAAAAAAGACAGAGTTCTTTCTCCTCGGGGATAAATGCTCCGATGTGACCGGAAAAGGATCTGAAGAGATCCCGAGTTATAGGGCATGCACATGCATGTGTGTGTGTCTGTGCATGTGTGCATGGGCCTGGGTGCACACACAGGGGAAAGTGACATATTGGAACCTGCTAGGACAGACTCACAATGGTCAATAGTGTGACTCTCTTTGCTGCTTAGCATTCAGTGACAGGACACTGGTGACAATATAGGCCATAGTATTTGTACTTGGAAAATCAAATACTGCAGAACCACCCCCAAGACATGTTGTTAAACTGTTCACCTTGAGGAGCTTGAGGAGATGCTGGTGGCATCAAGAATTCAGAGGACCCCTGCAGGTTCCGCCACCCTGGCATGATGGTCCCTGAGACTACAGAAGCTTTGGGCAGAGTGGAGGGGCAGCCTGAATGGCTGCAGCAGTCCCTTTCCTGAGGGAACTAAACCTCAACTTTGTACTTTGGTGTGAGTTCATAATTTTGCCCCTCCAAATACACACATGTTTGAGATGGAGGTCTTGCTATGTTGCCCAGGTTGGTCTTAAACGCATAGATTTGAGCAATCTCCCCATCTCAATCTCCCGAGCAGCTGAGACTGCATAGCAATCTGACTTCAGCTCATTTTCTGTATGGTGCCAACCCTCTTCCAGCCACAAAACAGTTGCAGCCCTGGTGGACACTGTGTTTGGATTCCTGCACTTGGAACCCAGTACCCTCTGCCAGAGAGGGCCCCTGGGCTCCTGGAGGACGGGACCATGCCGTAACAGTCCCAAGGGAAAGGCAGATGTCTCCTGACTGTTCCGAAAGAATGTCACAGTTTGGCAAGAGCTTAGACCTCCCATTTTCCAGTTTGGGGATGGGGAGTTTGGGTAAAGACACTCAGCTCCCTGGGCCGTAGTCTCCATAGAACAGAAGTGATGACACCTATATTATGGGATGGATGTGGGGACTGACTGAGGCTATAGTTATAACCTAGCCTGTAGGTGACGGACCCAGGATAGGATAGAATGGTGCACGACCCAATGTGGTCCTTCTGGGAAATGCACACAAGCAGAACAGAGCTGCCTCCCCACACCCGCAATGGCACCCCACAATGGTGCCTCATGAACCCCTTAGTATGTTGAATTTCTTCCTGCAGAGTGACTGTATCTGGACACAGGATTTTTAGGAGGAGACTGTGGTACAGTGACCTAAAAAGTAGGCAGGACCATGATCTAATTAATGGAGCTGTGACTTTATACAAGAGGAACCTGGGCTGGAGGTGTAGTTAATGGTAGAGTGTTTGCCTAGCATATACAGAGCAATCTCTAGTACCATGAAAACTAGCATTGTGGTACACACCTCTAACCCCAAATATTCTGGAAGTAGAAACAAGAGAATAAGGAATTCAAAGTCATCCTCAGCTACGTAGTGAGTTCAAAACCAGCCTTGGCCACAAGAGGCTCACTAGTGGCACATGCCTCAAATCCCAGCACATGAGATGCTGAGACAGAAGGACTACAAGCCTGAGGCCAGCCTGAGCTGCAGAGAGGGCCCCCATGTCAAGAAGAATTAGAGAAAGCAATCTTTTAAGAGAGGGCAGGTACCTCAGACACAGGGCTCACAGGTATCAAGGCCTGGGTTGAGAATGTACTCGCTTCTAAAAGGATCCAGAAGGCTGAAGCAGAGGAAGCAAAACTACAATTCCTACGTGCAGACTACGAAGGCTCTCTGGTTGGTGTGGCCGCAATAATGGCAGCACTTATATTCACTGAGCCTTTACCACTCCAACCTACCCCTGGCTCCACATGGGTTCTTCTGTTCATACATCTAACACCCACATACCCACCCAGGCAAGTGCCCCTGCACTTTCTGTGTGCAGAAATGGAGGAGAGAGGTGGCAGGAGGACCTGAAACTACCTGGTAGAGACTGGCTTTCTCTCAGAGTAGTAAAAGTGGGAGGGCTTTGAGTAGGAGAGCCATGACCTGACTCACATAGTAAAAGGCTAGCCCTGGCTGCTGCATGGGGAACAGGTTGCCCTGGCATAACGGGGAATCTGCTAAAAAAACAAAACAAAACAAAACAAAACTATCACCACACATCACTGGAGGTAAGAGCTACATAGAATGGGTAGAGACATGTAGAGTTCCCAGGATTTTCCCAATACAGAGTCCCCAGATGTCATTCCCCTCCTAAAGCAAGCATGGAAAAGCGGAGGAGATGCTCCAGGCAGCCTTTGCTCCATGGTGCCCATACTTCAGCAGGCCAAGAGTCGCCATGAACTGCCACCTGAGCCATACCTGGCACAGACCTGGAGGCAGAAGGCAAGCTCCAACACACCATGGCTCTTTAACCAGACCCAAAAAAATCTTTGCTTATCTAACTGCCTTGGTGGTGGCCACTCTGATGTCCTTTAGCTTCTCCTCAGCAGCTGGGGCCCATACAAGTCTATACAAGACTGCCTAGAGAGGCACCCATCTTCTCATACCTTCGTCACAGTTGCCCTGTTCTAGACACTTTCATTCAGTATGCAAGGCTGGGGCAACCTCCTTTGGGCCCTGCAGAGCTGGGCAGCCAGTGTAACAGGGGGTCACAGTCACCACGTCTACGCATTAGCTTCTGTGAGGCAAGTAATATGACAACCAGAGAACCTGCCTCTCAGAACAATGTTAGAGGTGAGTGGGGTCTTTCACATCTAAGAGGGGCTTAGATGTGATGGAATCTACAAAGCCCTACAACTGCAGAAGAGGGATTAGAATCCAAGACTGCCAGGCCCTCTTCCTGCCTCCTGTATGGTTCATGGAGCTGCTGTCTTGGCTCAGGACATACACCCAGGATAGAGAGGTAGGAAATCAAATTGCAGTGGCTACTAGCAGTGGTGGGTGAGGCACTAGTCTTCCTAGGTCTCGGGTCCCGTGTTGAGGATGATAATTAAAGGCTATTTCCCATGCCTGGGAGGGAAATGAGTCCAATCACATAAGGACTTCGCTCATAGTAAACATACAGGAAGTGTTCATTATTGTTCTGATTACTGTTGTGCCTTACCCTTGAGTTCAGTGTCTGTGCAGCCACCCTGCCCCTCTTCCCATTTGTGCTCACACAGCAGCTACTGAAGAGGACAAGGCTGCAGTCCAGCTGGCTGGCTTCCTGCTTTCCAAACACATGTCACAGCCCCATCCTCCCCCTGTCTAAAGCTCCCCATCTCCAGGGCCAACATCTGTCCTTGAAGAAGCTTTACTGTCAGCTTTTGCTTTTAGCTCTCCTGGGTTACGGGAAGCCTGGAGTCTGCGCACAGGAAAGTTTTCCTGTCAGTCCTGGCTGTCTCTCCTCCTCTGATGATGATGATTGTGTCTCAGGTGGTCAGGTTAGCCTCAAACTCACTATAGAGCTGATGCTGACCTTGAACCTCTGATCTTTCTGCCTCCATCCCCCGAGTGCTGTGATTATAGGCATGGGTTACCATACCTGGTTTATGGAGATCTGAGAACTGAACACACAGCTTCATGCATGCTGGACAAGCAGTCTACCAAGTGAGCCATACCTTCGGCCCCCACTCTGCTATTTCCACCCCCAGACGGAAGAATGTAGAAGTCAGCGAGGTGTGCCCTTTGCTGCACATACTTTACTGACATTATCCTATTTAAATGTCTCTAAGTGATGGCCGGGCTTTTGTTTCCTAGTATACCAGTGAAAGAACTAAAATACAGTGAGATTAAGTGGTGAACTCAGAGCTCTGCTGGTAAAGCAGAAGTTCTGGGCTGCCTGTGCTCTGTGTGGCCGGTACTCCTCACCACTATAAGCAGCCGTTTGACTCCTGTGAGCTGATCACTGTACAATGGCTGCAGGGCCCACTTGGCTCAGGTCAGAGACCCGTTACAGAGCCAACTACTTCACCTAAACAGGTATCGTGCTGGGCCCTGACAACTTGATAAGTTCCTGCCCCCAAGGAGCTCAAGAGCTGAACGCAGGAGAGAGAGTGTGTGGAAAGAAAGAATCCTAAACTAGCTCCTGTTTATCAAGCTCCTTCTTTGTACTGGGCCCTGTTTGAGCAACAACAGTTGGTGTAGTAATTCATTCACTGCTTAGTCAAGATAGGCTACGAAACTGGAATGCAGGGACATTAAATAATATGCCCCAGATCACACAGTGTGTAAACAGGGAAGCTAAAAATAGAAAGTGCTAGGATGTGGAGTGACACTGTCAGGCCATGGGGGTACACAGCATCATGGAAATCTGTGTACCTGGGAATGCTGTGACCCTGGTACCTGGGAAGTACCAGGATGCATGCCTGTGACATTATAACATGGCAGAGTGCATTGCAATGTCACCCAGCCCCTGGAGAATACACAGAGACTACAAAGCACCAGGGCATAGAGCAACAAGGGAAGTTTGTGTAAAAAGCAGAAGCCCCCCAGGGGATGAATGGTGTAGGGTCTGGCCAAGGTCTGAGAGGAGTTCATAACTGATCAGGGGTTTAAAGAATAAGACATGCCTCAAGAAGCTGGAGGAGGTAGGAGAGGAAGCAAAGTTCTCTAGACAGAGAAGGGTATGTGTAGATAACAATGTGCTCAAGGTTATCAAAATATGTCTGGTGTTATGTGCGGATCAGTGCTAAAGGGGTGGCCAGGGTTTAGGGGGAGTGGAAGGAGAGAGGGCAGGTCTGTAGATGGAGACCGAGAACAGGGAGTGCACCCCCCACCCCGCGCCCCTTACGCAGATATCAAACAAGTCCTGGGAAGTCGGTTTGTTATTTTAGAATTAAGAGAGCTGGCCCCGAGGAAGTCACATCTGGGCAAAGGTGTGAACCAGAGTTATGAGAAGGTAAAAGTCAACAGACCAAGCTGAATAGTTAGACAGGAGCATGACCTAAGTCCCATGACACCATGGCCAGGATTCTAGCGTGAGTGACATGATGACCAGAGGTGTCATCTAACATGAAGGATTTTCACAGTGTGGCTTCCCTCCCCTTCGCCCTGTGCTCAGAGTAGAATAAGGGCCCAGCCAGAGCTCAGTGGTTAACACTGAGATCCAGTGGAGGGGGAAAACCATGTTCAGAGCACACATGCAGTGTATGTATATCAGGCCTTGTTAAAGAAGGATCAGCCCGGAGCTGGAGAGGTGGCTCGCTGATTAAGGTACTTTTCCAGAGGACCTAGGTTCGGTTCCCAGCACCTACATGTCAGCTCACAGCCATGTGTACCTGTAGTTTCAGAAGATCCAATCTCCCCATGTGTACAGATACACATGCAGGGCAGAGCACGCACACACACACACACACACACACACACACACACACACACACACACACTATTGATAAAATCTCAAGAACAATTAAAGCCAGCAGCAGCCAGTCTGCACTACTGAGCCCTTCCTTCACTGTTCGGGGGGGTGTAGACGGGGTGAGAGACATTTGAAGTTGGGCCATCCTCCAGGGCAGACAGGAGGTGTGATGGCTAGCTACAGAGAGAAAGGCCCACAGTAGCAGGCATGAACCTAGGCCGACAGAGTGACATTGTATGCACATGGTATACACACATACAAACAGGCATGCACATGTAGATGTAAATTAAAAAAATAAACAAAACCTAAAATCAACACTCAAAGACCGAAAATAAAAAGTGTTAAATAGGTTTCAGAAAACAGAGGAATGAGCCTATCTGAAGGTGTCTGCCCTTCTGTGATGTCCCTCAGCCTTCCCTTTAAGTGTAGTTTGCGCTGCCCACAGACCATGTGTGAGAGATTAGAGGTGTGTGGCAGTGGAGATGGGCAGCTTGGGAGTGGGGAAACTGAGGCACAAGCCCAGTTTCAATCAGAGTATACACCACCTGACAGCAGGACATCTGGGTTCAATACCTCCTGGGGATTAGCGGAGACAAGATGCAGGATTTAGGCTTCTGGGAGATTTCAATCTTGGAGCCAAAGGTATCTCACTCTCAAGAGGGCAGCAGGAACCTACCCAAGGAATGGTTTCCCAGCCAGGATGGCTGAGTCCTGGAGGCATGATGGTGACCTCAGAAGGGTCACCTAACCCCAGGAGTAAAGAAGACTGTGATCAATTTACCCTCTAGACCCCTCTCAGAATCCTTTCTCTCTTAATGAACACTGTGATTGCCTTCCCTTCCTTTGCCTGGAGGAAAGTAAGCTAACAACGAGGGCATCTTCCCTCCACTGTTCTGGCAAGGTGGGGTAGAGGTGGGGGGGTACTGGAGGCTTCTCCTAAGACAGACCCCCTGAGGAGGAGAGGTTTTATAGAACGCAGCCAACCATAGCCAGCTCCATCCTGCCTGGCGGTTATTTGTGCAGCATGTAGCCCCTCCAGGCCTCTTCCCCTCAGCTGCCCACTACGGCATTGATTTTCCTAATGGCGAGCCTCCGCAGTGGTGGGTGTTGGCTGCCCTGCCCCAAACCTCCTTGTGGCCACTAATTAGCTGAGGTCCAGAGACTGCACTTCACAAATGGAAACTGGAGTCCAGAGGCCTTAATCCAGAGGCCTTACTGGGAAGCAAGAGGAGGCTGGGCTGGGCATCCGGCCTACTTCTATACTCTGCCTTTTTGACTGACTGTTGCTGACTCAAGGGAAAATCATGTGTGTTGGGGGTGGAGGATGGGGAGTTATCCTCCCAGAGGTGGGAACATGAACAAAGTCTAGAGCTGGCAGGTAAGTTGCTAGCTGTTTTCTGTCAAGTGTTGGTGGTGCACTCCTTTAATTCCAGCACTCGGGAGGCAGTGGCAGTCAGATCTCTGTGAGTTTGAGGCCAGCCTGGTCTACAGAGTGAGTTGCAGGACAGGCTCCAAAGGTACACAGAGAAACCCTGTGTCAAAAAAAAAAAAAAAAAAAAAAAAAAAAAAAAGAAGAAGAAGAAAGAAAGAAAGAAAGAAAGAAAGAAAGAAAGAAAGAAAGAAAGATGCTAGCTGTTTTCTGAGACCCAGAGGAGGGAGAGTCTTTGCATAGTGACAGCTCCTGAGTGAGGAAGGTGACGGAGGTGACAGTCTCTTTCAAACAGTTGAGAACTTGACTTGGCACTGAAACTCATTGTTTTGACTTAGACTGGTTTGTTTTGGGTGGCTGTGGGGACTGCTAATGGAGATTCTCAGTGACACAACAGCAAATGTTCTGGCCTCTACAACATTGCTTTTAGCTGAGAGGTTTCTCCGGGCACTTACCAGTCCCAAATCAACTGCATGTGCAGTAGCCAGGTCCCTCTGTGCCTACAGGGGAAAAGGGAACCAGGAGACTCAGGCTAGTGGTCCAAGGTACCTACCACACATAATGGATGGATGCAACCGGGTAAAAATGCCTGGCAGGAAAAGGCTTTTTGTTGTTGTTGATGTTGTTGGGCTTTGTTTGTTTGTTTGTTTGTTTTTTTAAGACAGGGTTTTTCTGTAGCTTTAGAGGCTGTCCTGGAACTCACTCAGTAGACCAGTTGGGCCTCAAACTTACCTCAAACAGAGACCCACCTGCCTCTGGAGTGTTGGGATTAAAGGAGTGTGCCACCAACACCCAGCTCAGGAAAAATCTTAAACGAGGACAAAAAGTCAGGCATGATGGAGAGAGAAGGCTGCCTGAGGTAGCTGGACATTGTGCACAATAGCTCTGGCACAATAGTCCACAGTAGCTTCTCCGCCCTCCTTCCTCCCCCACTCTCCAGGCTCGCTCCTGGCCCTTAGTGGCTACAGTTCAGACAGTGTAGCCCTGTGAGCCTCCTCCCATATAACCTTCACGCTGCTCCAAGCCGCCTTTACTTAAAGTATCAGAGAGTAACTCAACTTAGGAGGGGCTCAAAGGGGCCTGTATCCCATTAAATCCCCTAGAGAAATTATCCAGAAGTAATAAAAGAGTACGAAACCGTCGGCAAAACATGAAATCCCATCCACACTTCCATTTGTTCTGAGGTCTTACAGGAATATTAAATTATTCATCAAAATTGAACATCAGAACTAACCATACCACATGCACATGATCTGTGTGCGGTCGGAAGCACTCAGACTCATGCTGTGGGATGGAGAAGGGGCTGTGGTCCCAAGAATGGTCAACCCCTCCAGGGAGGGGCCAGAACAAAGCCTGAGTGTTTTAGACACCAGCAGTAAATCTTACTTAGTTGGCTTGAGGTTGAACGAGGTGCAGAAAATGGTCCATTGCACTTGCAGCCAGCTTTGGGAGGCTCCTGCAAGTCCACATCAGGTTCCCCTTCTCCCAACACCTGTCAGGGCCGTTTGTGTATAGAAAGCCAGGTTTATCTGGGGCCTTCCTTCATATGGAGTTGGTGCTGAGAATGGGGCCAAGGTTGCTCTGGCTCTCCCCAACACCTGTCCTTTGGACAGGACCAATCTACCCTCTGCCCCATTGTGTGTGTGTGTGTGTGTGTGTGTGTGTGTGTGTGTGTGTGTGTGTGTGTGAAGGCACAGCTGGAGGGGTTACCAACACAACTTCTTACAGAAGGTTTGTGGTTCTTCTGTCTCCTGAGTGTTTCAGAACAGCCAGTGGTCTGCTGGATAGAGATCACATCCATCTCCCAGCCCACTTTAAGCCTCAAAAAAGGGATGGAATTGGCTGTGGAGGCCTCTGCAGAATCTGGTTAGAGACAGGTGTCTCCTTCTGCTCAGTCTGGCCCAACTTAACCTCAGTCTCTCCAGCCCACATGCAGTCTGGCCACTTGGGACCCGGGACTCAGTTCATTCCTCAGAGAATTCCCTGCAACTACAGGCCGGTGATTCCAGCGGCCAATTAAAGTCACATCTTGGGGACAGCACAGAGAGAAACTGGATGGGCTGGCCAAGGTCACAGAGGAAGGAAGGCTGAGGCAGGGCGGTGACTAGAGGAGTGGGAGGGGTCCTGGGGCCCGGGGTTCACGTCTAAGGCGGGGAGGGGAGGTGTCCCGGGACGCGGGAACTCACTCACCGCCGGGACCACTTGGCCGACGATCTCCCGAACGGTCTCTTCCACAGAACCCCGTAGAGCTGCACTTTGGTACTGATGTCCAGCGCGTCCGCGTCGGCCTGCTCCAGAGATGGCGATGGCGACACGGAGTTGGACTTGGACACGAACATCCTGTCTCGGAGTCGCTGTCCCGGCTGGGCGCACCCCCTTTGTGGGACTGGAAGGGACAGGGAAGACTGCGGGAAGCAGTGGGCGCGACGAGTGAAGGCAGCTCGGGATGCCGTCGGGGCGCGTCCCAGCGAGCGGAGCGGACGCCGAGGGGCGCGGGAATCGCAGCCAGCGGCTGGGACGAAGCTCGGGAGCACCGCCGACCCGGAGGGAACTCCGCGGGGAGGGCAGCTCCGCCGCAGGCTCGCAGCATCCACTCCCCCCACCCCCTCCCGCGCTGGCAGCCTCAATTCTGGTGGCCTGGATTGGCTGGGAGTGGCAGGTGAGCCGGCCGCAGGCCAGCGGCGAGCGCCAATCAGGGCTGGCGTCGGCCGCAGAGAGCTCCGCTCAGTGAGTCTGCAGGGTCCGGGCCTGACGCTCGGCCCGGGATTTGGCCACTGCACCTCCCCACCCCCATCCAGATGCCCAGCTCTCCCCCAGCTCCTTAGAATCTGTGGCTCCTACATCAAAAAGCTGCCAAAATGTGCTTGGTGATGAGCAGGAGTCACTCCGTAAACACCCGCTCGCCTCTGGGCGTGGGCGTGGCGGTAGGGACCTGGACTTGTGATTCCAACCCAAGCTTTCAAAGGCTCTGCAAGCCACTGGACCGTGTTTTTCTCACCTGTAAAGCAGAGACGCGCGCCTACCTCTTGGGGGCAGGCCGGTGGCCAGCTCAGACTTCGGTAAGTGCCCAAGGACCCGCCTAGGAATAAAAGATTCCAGCGAAGTTCAGGGCCCTTCCCTGACCCCGCAGGTGGAGGTGGGTTTGTTTCACTTTGCCCAGCCGTGTCTGGTCTGCCTGAACCAGATTGAATTTCTTTTTCTGTCGCTTGGCAGTCTGTGTAGGCATTTGGCACTCAGTGTCAGTCTCAAACTGTCAATGCAGTTTGTGATCGTGATTTATCTGTGGGCCTCCTGTGTTCCCTAGGGCCAAGTGTGCTCTGTCCACTTCCGCTCTCAGTGCAGGCATTTGTTGACTTTCTGGCCAGGCATGGTGACTGCCTTTGGCCTCCTTCTTTGCAGGTGGAAAGGCACTCCAAGAGTGAAGAAAGGGTTTTGTTTGCATACTGGAGCCGCTCCCCTCCTTCTCCTTCTAGTCTTTTCCAGGCCCTCAGAGGCAGTCATGATTCACCCTAGACCTTAGTGAAACTACTTTCCTCTCTCAGGATCTGGGATTCCTCTGTGTGAAGTAAAGAAGTAAAATGGCATCATCAGAGCTTGCAAATAAATGGGTAACCTGGGAGCCAAGTCAGTTTGCTCAGACTTTACTAATTTGCCCTGAGCAAGCACCATTGAGGTAAACTTAGTACACCATATTACAAGGGCTTATTTGATGAATGCATACACTGTGTGATGACCACCCAAAGCAAGATGCAGAGCTCTCCAATCCTAGCTCCCTTCTCAAGCCAACCCACAATATTTCCTCACTTCTCACCATTTGCTTAATGCTTTAAAATATTTGACCTGAATGCCCAACAGGGCATCTTCAAAGACCTCCCCGGCATCATTTTGTGTTGTCTTACCCGTCCAGCTTTTCTTCTCTATAGTCCATAAAGACTATTTTTTTGTCTTCTGAGGATCAAACCTGGAGCCTTGTGAAAGCTAGGCATTCATTCTACCATTGAAATATATCTCCAACCTCTTGCTCAAGTTAATAATCCTGATGCCTGGATACTTTTCTTACTTTAGGAACCCTGCTTTTCTTAGATACAAACAAACAAATAAAACTTGCACCAAGAGCCTGTGGTATTGTGTTCCCTGGAGCACAGTAGGACCTTGAGTTGCAGTGGATAAACTCAAGAGAGCAGCATGCACAGGTATGTGCGTAAGGCACCTGAATGCCTCCCACAGGTTACTGAAGCTTCTGGGCTGCCTTCCTGATGCAGCAGTAGCAAGGGTGCCAGCTGCAGCAGTAGCCACTAGGAGTCAGACTCCTGGCAGCACAGGACAGCAGCAGCTAATGTTCTGTGGCATGAGCAAGGTTTGGAACATTGTTCTAGAAACTTCTCCCTAGGCCTGGCTCTCTGACCCTCCTGACAGCCTTTTAACAAATTCATTCTTGCTGTCCTGAGTCAGGTCAGTGTCAGCTCTGGCCTTCCTTGAAGTAAAGGCCAATGATAAGCTTGTGAGTAGAACCACTCATGAGAAATTTTTCAAGTAGGGGGGCTGAGTGAGCCCAGGGGCTCCTGGGAAACAATCATGATGGCAGAAATGGAGCCTAGGTTTCTTCAGTGGCAGAGGGAAGCCGGTCTCTCTCTGCATTTCATCTGCATGCAGGACATCCGGACAGCCTTCAGCTAACAGTGAATGTTGGGTAGAAAAACTCTAAGAGGCAAGCAGTGAGATACTGCAGTGATTCCTTCCCCTTGTTAAATAGCCCAGATGACGCCAGGTCAGGCATGGGCAAAGCTTTTCTGTTTCCTTGTGTCCTCTGCCCAGTTGATGGGGGTCTTAATGCCACTGAGAGTTCTGGGGGAGACAAACAAGCCAGGGCCAAGGATGCCTAAGAGCTTGCCTGCCTTCCTTCCTTCCTTCCCTCCCCCCTTCCTCCCTCCCTCCCTCCCTTTCTCTCTCCCTCTCTCCTCCCTCCCTCCTTCCTTCCTTGTTTTGAGACAGGATCTTGCCATGTAGCCTAGGTGGTCTCAAATTTGTCATCCTCCTGCCTCCACTTCTAGAGTGCTGTAATTAAAGGCGTGTACTGCCTTGCTTGGCCAGGACTGTCCAGTTTTAACAATCAAATGAGATTAGGGTGGAAACTCAGGCTAAAGTTGCCCCCCCCCCCCGTCTGTTCTTAGTGTGCTGTCTGCAGCTCACCTAATCTAGCTAATTGTGACAAGATGCCAAGGAAAACACTTTATTTTTCATTTCCCCATGAGAAAAATCAAGGTTAAAAACACTTGTCTAACTCTTAAGTTTGATGACTCACATGTCCCCAGGAATTTATCCATTTCTTTTAGATTTTCCATCATTTTGCAACACAGGTTTTTCAAAATATTTCCTCATGGTCCTGGATGCCATTAGTATCTGTTGCAACAGTACCAGGCCCACCTCTATGCCTTTCATAGCTCCCACTCTCTTTCTGAGACAACATCTCACTGTGCAAGCCTGGCTGGCTTGGAAGTCACTATGACTAGGATGACCTTGAACTCACAGAAATTCTCCTGCCTCTGCCTCTGGAGTGCTGGGATTAAAGGCATGTGCCACCATCCCTTGCTCTAATTGTCCTGATATTTCTGTCCTCTTTTTCTTATGGTGAAGTTTTGCTAAAAGTTTTCAATCTTGTTTGTCATTCTAAAGAGCTAACTCTAGGGGCTGGGAGATGGCTCAGTGGTTAAGAGCAATTGTTGCTCTCTTGTAGAGGACAAGGATTCAATTCCCAGCACAAGTGGCTGCAACTCCAGTTCCAGGGGACCCAGTGCCCTCTCTTGATTTCCGTGGGGTACCAGAGACACACTTGGTACGAATACATACGTGCAGGTAAAACACTCATACATAGAAATAATCTTTAATTTTTTTTTCTTTTTTGAGACAGGGTTTCTCTGTTTTTTTGTTTTTTTTTTTTTTTTTTTAAAGAACTGTTTACTTCTTTTTACTGTTTAACTCTGTTTCGTTGTTTTTCTATCTTATCTTCTTAGTCCTGTTTGGCATTTGGTGGCTTGTTTTTTTTTTTTTTTTTGCTTTGTTTGTTTCTCTAAGACTCTGAGATGCACTGTTCAGTTGCTTTTTGTTTGGTTTTGTTTTAATTTTTTTAAGTTATCTACTACTCAGGAGAAACACTTCCGTGATCCTATTATTCAGGAGGGGCAGGAGGATAACAACTTAGAGACCACGCTGGGCTACATAATGAGACACTGTCTCAAAAACAGAGTTGGGTCCTCAAGGTTACACAGCTAGGTTCTTTCTGAAACATGGTGGGCATGTGTGTTTGTGCGGAGTGGGAACAAGCAGTCGATCAGATATCTAGATTTGTTCCTAATCTAGACCTTCGCACTGCAGCGCGAAGCTTGTGAACTGAAGTAGAATGCTGAGCCATTTGAGTGTTCTCTGTGGTCGTCATTTCTCACCTGACAACTTTCCTCAGGGTTCCTTAAGAGACCATTCTTAAAATTTATTTTATGTGTACATATGTTTAGTTGCCTGGGTTTTGTGTGCACCTGAGGAGCCCTGAGGAGAAGAGGGTGTCAGATCCTCTGGAACTGGAGTATTAACAGTCCACTCTACCTGAGCAGCCTCCAGGAAGGAGCTGTGCAGATGAAACCTAATGGATGCAGCTCTCTGCTCTTACACAGGCTAGCTTACACACCCAGGAAAAGGCAATAAAACTCTCCCTGCAGGGGATGGAGACAAGGGTTTCACTGGACTTACACCCCACTGGGCTACAAAGGCTTCAAACATGCATGGCTCTTTCCTGTGTCACTTCGTCAAGCCACCTACCCGCTCTGTCCTATGCACAGGCACGCACACACACACACACACACACACACACACACACACACACACCCAGGAATGATACAACTCTGGCTTCTCTGAACTACTGCAGCACCCGAGTATCCCTAGAGGAGCAACAAGTAGAAGTGGCCAGCCCTGGGCTTCAGGTCAAGCCTTGCTGCAGCATCAAATGTCTCCATCCTCTAACCCTAATTGTAGGACTCAGGTGCTCACCCTGGATCCCACAGAAAGGCTGTGGCCAGTTTCAGATAGCCTTGGTTCCAGTGACTCTTTGCTGTTCTAGTACTTTAGTGCACTGTCTGCTCAGCCGAGTTTCCCTCCTGTGATGGCTGCTTTCCTAGAGATGAGCTACTTCAGGTCAGGAACGGGGTACGCAGTAGGCACTCAGCAAGTGCCTACTGCATTGACGGATCTTTGCTTGGTGGTTTTCTGCTTTTGTTGGCCAACCAAATGGAGGCCTGTATCTCAGGCCCTTGGCTTCCTCTCCTCTAAAATGGAATCTGTGGAGTGCCCAAGAACAGATGTGCGAGCCACCTTTCAATGACAGACTTTTGAGACATTAA